TAGCATAACGTTATATGTTCATATGAAAAAGTCTTAATTATAAAAATTTCCTCTGAACTACGACCTTTATAACATTTTGCCTCCGATTTTTAAAACGTAACATCCACTCCTCTTAAAGTATGAAAAGTTAACAAAAAAATCCCCTTCCATTAGGGTTTCTAACAAAAGTGACACTTGTCACACAAATATCGATTGTTCTTAACTAATTTAGTGTAAAATTACTCTTCTACTCATCACTTTTAAATTAACATTTCTTAAAAACATATTTTAATTTTCATTTAATGCAATAATAAATAAAACAAAACAATGGTACAAAATTTTTAATCTTAATCTTCATAATAATTGATTAATTGAAACTCTTTCAGAAAAAAACTAATTATCTTTAAATTCACAATATATTTTTTTTAACTTAACTCATAATATATTTTTAATAGCATTTTGAAAAAATGTCAACATTCTAAAAAAATGTATATATAATATATATATATATATATAGTATATACATGTAAATTAGAATTTAAAAGGATTTTTTAAGATTTAATATTTTTAAAATTTAATTTTTTCTAAGATTATCAAAATACCCTCGAATTCTTTCCATCATCATCATCATTATCAAAATTTAATTTAGTATATATATAGTATATTATTAACGTTTCATAGTTTAGGGAACATATATTACATTTTAAAAATCGGAAATAAAGTATTACCTGAGTTATAATTTTGAAGAAATTTTCATAATTAATCCCGTGAAAAGTGTTACATCTATCAATTGCAGACTCTATATACATATAAACCAGTGAGCAGGAAATTAGTTTGGTTGAGAATCGTCCAACCCTAATGAAGATTTAAGTAGCAAATATAAACAAAAATACATGAAAATAAAGAAACAAACAAACCTATTGAAGGATCTTTTTTGATACTCTAACATATTGATAAGTCAAGTTTTTTTTATCTATTTAACTTGTATAAAATCACATAAAAATTAAAAATTACATAAATTTAATTATTAAAAAAATCTAATTTATCAGTACGTTAAGGCACCGTTCACTTCGTTGATTCGAGTTTAGAATTCGAGTTTTTCTACAGTAAAAAGCTCTCACAAACAATCACATCTAACTTTTTTGCTACAGTAAAAAGCTCTCACATAAAGTCACATCTCAACTCGAATTCTAAACTCGAATTAGCGAAGTGAACGGGGCCTTAAGTGTATTAAAAAATCTTCTATGAAAATTTGTGGTGGCCACTTCTCTTCAACTGAGGTGCGCCAAATTGCCATTGCTTGAGAGATACACGTGCAGGTGCATTATTAGAGGAGGCATTGGAGAAAGGATTCTTTTTTTTGTTTTTTTTTTTCAAGCATCAAGTGGCAAAATGAGCGTTGACTAGAGTGAAATTAGAGAGGGTGGTCTTCCATGCCCACTAAACGTTCCTTTCCATAATCTTGCGCTCTTATTGTTTCATTTTCCTTTTAAATTTAGATTGTGCGTCAAAGCTTCTATCAGAATTTGGATTTTTCTTAAGAGTCCCATGTCTTTGCTTGTTGCTGAAGTAACCATGTACGAGAAAGCTGTCTTAACAATACGATTTAATTGACTTATTTTAGTCCAAACAAATAAGCAAATTTCACTTATTTTGTTTTATTATCTCCTCGTTCGGCGCTGCACCAGCAAGATTCTTTCACCTGTTATTCTTTCTGTCTCTGTGGTACTCTTAGGAAATTGAGTCTTTCTTTAGTTAAGGCCTATATAATATATATTATATTAAAAGTGAATTCAGGTAAAAAAAAAATATTACGAGAAAAAGTTAAATTTAAATTTTTATAAAAATTTTATTATAATAAAAATTTAAGCTGTAATTAAAATTAATAAAATAAACGGGACCTATACTTCTTGAAAATTTAATCAAATGTAATTTGAGATTTTTACGATAAGGTTAAAAAAATATGGAATTTTGACAACTGTCTGCTCAACTTGATTAACGCAATATGCCTCATTTTGATGATGATTGCGTTAAATTAGTGACGAAAAATTCTAACTTCTCAATTCAAATGTAACACAAATATTTTAATTTTTTAACTTTTAATCCCTTAGAGCAAATAAAAAATTTGAACAAATTTAGTAAAAGGTGACACATTACAATAATTTTACAAGTTCAAGGGTTGTTTGTCAAAATTGAAAGTTTGAGGAACAATTGTGCTAAAAACTCTTGATTTTGTGTCAACTTTTTTCCTCGATCTTTTAAAAAATTAGAGCCAAATTGACACGAAACTAATAATTCAGGGGTAAGTTGACTTAAATTAATAGTTTAGGAGGCATTTATTAAAATATAAGTAGTGTTATGCCATCAATTTGTTAGGTTTGCAAATGTAAGGACATTTTAAACTGGGGTAGATACTTTAGAGAGTGAAATGAATTCTTTTTAAAGTTTAAGGGCATATTAAAACAATGTATCAAGTTTAGGAGGTATTTATAAAATTAATCCAATAAATTTATATTATCAAACTGATTTTATTTTAAACCATTAGATTCACGTCGACTTATATAATTTTGTGGTTTTTTATTTAAACTTGATTCTAATTAATTCAAATTACTTGCTTTCTTCATAGCCAAAAATTCTCTCTCCTTATATGTTGACATCCCATTAGTGCGGTTAGGCCCTTGCTCCCTTTTACTAATTTTTATGACTCCGCTTCTGTCTTATGCCATAAGTTTCTCTTAAAAGAAAATGTTAGTGTATGAATCATTTTTTTTTTCTATAAATAGGAACTGCTATTTTAATTATTAAATTAACTTTTTAACAATTTAACCTATAATCAGAAAAAGTTCTGTATTACTCGTTGAAAATTTTTAATATTGACACTCATAGATTAAACTATTGAAATTTCTAATGGTAGTAAAAAAAAAAAAAAAAAAAAAAAAAAAAAAACCTCACCTATAGCTTTTGAGCTTTACATTCGCCATTTAAACTTTAAAAATACTCATTTTACCCAATGAATATTGAATTAGACACGTGAGCCCGTTTGGTTCATGAATTAGAATTATGAGATTAGAATCATTTTTAATTTACGTGTATTTTTTGTGAGAGAAAATACTGTAGCGAATCATGAACTATGATTCGAATCAGAGAACAAATCCTCCAACCAAACGGGGGAATCATACGACTTTTGATTCGTGACCTTCCTATGGCTACTGCAACACCAAAACTGCAGCGCTGCTGCTGGTTTCCAAAAGGAGTAAGCTTTTCTTTTTTCCTTTCCTTTTTTTTTTTTTTTTTCCTTTTCTGAAAAAGAGGAAGCAAGTGGTAAAGGTTAACGTAGTCACTGACCTCTGATTTTTTTAATTAATTAATTAATTAATTTTTGGTACAAACACAGAGGACAGAATGTTGAAAAAAATGATAAATATGTGCACGTTATCATGGTCATTTCCCACCGCATCAGACACATGCAAATGGCTTCGGAAAACAATAATAATAATAATAATAATAATAATAATAATAATAATTATTATTATTATTATTATTATTCTTTAAATAACAAATAAAAGATTGTAACAGTCCTCACGTCGACATGCTGCCAAGTTGGATATATGTGACCACTTGATGCAAATAAAGTGGATCACTATGTTATGAAGTACAACTCTTTCAGAATATCGAGTTCCCCTCGTCAATCTTTGTAATTCTGGGCATGCCAAAGTATGTAGTTTTGATGATTGGCGCAACAAACCTTGCATTTTGCATACTCTACACGGCTTCATTTGTTAAATTTTTGCAGTTTTTTAGTCCTGTAACCTTGTGATGCTGTCGTTCAGTTAAGTCTGAAAATAATGTGATTATTCACTTTTTTCTATTGTTTGCGACAGTATGGGGATGCTTACGTGATGCGACCGTGATCAACTTCCCAGGTCTTTTAGGCAGAGGAGCAAGAATTGGATCATACATAGTTTTTTGCCGTCGACATAGGAAATCATCCTAACAAAATACACAGCGCACTTCATGGAAGCCCATAGCTTTGTTTCTGTTTATTGTTTAAAGAGAGACGGATGCAGACATTGTCGTGGCGATAGATTGAAAAAAAAAAAAAAAAAATTACTAGGCACTGAATATCTGGTTTAAATTTTGTGGTTTACCTTTTTTTTTTTTCCTTTACTTTTTCTTTTCCCTCCTTTTCCATTCGTACTAATTCCTGTATGTGTGTAAATTATTTGTTTATTACATGAAAATTTTAAAAGTCATAGGGAACACAGTTTGAAAAATTGGAAGCAGAAAAAAAGTACTTGCCTCATCTCCTGTACTAATTGTCTCCTTGGTAGAATAAAGCTTCTCTATACAGTTCAAAATCCAGATGATAGTTTATCTTCTACCTTAAGATACTGAAAAGTCAAATGTCTAGTTTAGATTTGCTTTGCCGATCAATTATTTGGTTTTCTACCCTATTAGTGAAAACTGCTATGCATGCAGTAAAAAAACTTTTATTTTGGACTCGAGCGATAATGTGTTTTGTTTTTTGTTTTTTTTGTTTGGTTTATTGTTTATTGTTTTTTGCTCAGTAATTTGCAAAAGGACTGCTTTTCTAGGCATGTGTTTACATTATCACGGGTGTTTCACACTACTTAAGCTGCCTCAGTTGGAGCTACTAAATGTTGTCACCCTTCATTGTGAAGATTCAATAATGTGATGATAAAATGCCATTATTATAGAATAATAGAATTCCTATGATGAAGCATGTAGAACTCTCTTTTATTTCTCCAAGTTTCTTTTCAAGATTTTTCGCTACTCAAAATCCCACACAGAGAATCCCCCACTAAGCAACAGATACAAAAAGTGAAAGTCTTGACGTTGCAGACTCGCATGCGGATACATTTGCAACAGTGCTTCCATGATGATGTTTTTGCACTCAAAACTCTTTTGCAAGTGAAATTTGGACCATTTACAAGAAATATGAAGCTAAACAAAGTTCAATACATATTAGAAGCAAATAATATCATCTAACAGATTGTGTAAGTACCTATATACAATGTTGATTTCATGTTGCTTATATAATCAACTAAAACATAAATTAATTAGTCGCTAGAAATTTGTTCGTTCTGTAATTCAGAACTAAAACAAGACTGACCCAACTCAAACCATACCTGTCTGAACACCTTGATGATCATATCATGGTATTCATCAGAATTCAATGTCAGATAACAAGCCAAGAGTTCTTCGAGCTCCTCCGGCTTGCTCATCTTCTTCTCCACAATCATTTCAACCATTGAATCTTTGAAGTCTTTTTGAGGGTCAAATGAACTCTTCACCACTGCAAAGCTGTCCAACCCTGTCTTTGACTGCTCAACTGTTCCTCTCTCCTTGACCTCCTTCTTCTTCTTCTTCCTCTTCATCTTCAACTTGGCTTTCTTCATGTCCTCAAGAGCCTTAACCTTGCATACTTCAAGCCTCGAGGCGGTTCTCGGAGAATAAGCTCTTGCTTTGTTAATCTGCTTTGTTCTCTTCCTCTGCTGCTCTTCTCTGCTTAAATACACAGACTTCCTTTGTTTCTCATTCCTTGACTTCACCTCTTTCATCTTCAGCTCTTTCATAACTTTACAATGAAAACCCGTGTTTTCTTCGGAGTGTTCTTCACTGTTTTCCAAGTTGAGTCCTTCTTCCTCAATCGTTTTCAGGCCGGGATTTCTCGCACCAACCGGAGAAACATACCTGCATTTCCTTCTCGTCTCGAAAGCTCCCGATTCTCCTCGTGATTTCCTCTCTTTTGCAGTTCTATTACTTGTTGGTGACCTCAATTCTCTCTCCTTGTTCGACTTCTGAGCCTCTTTCCTTCTGCAGTTTGGACAACTTGGAACCGGAGTTCGAAGCTCATCATTAGGATCATGCCAAACTGATTTCATACCGAGAATTTTCTTCACAAAGTTTCTACCGCAATGGTAGTGTCATCAGAGAAGGAGGAAAGCTTATTCCTGGATGGAGTTTTGTCAATGAAGAGGATGCTGCGGAAGAACTCGAAGAGGGTGTGTTAGGATCAGCCAAGAACGAAGACGACGATATGGGAGGAGATGCCAGCTCCGGAGAGGAAGATATTGCCCGAGCAAAACACGACGACGGTGCCTACAACATAGATGGTACAGTAGGAACCAGCCCCAAAGGTCTCTCTCCACTAAATAACTGGTAATATATTTCACTTCTCTTACTGACTTTCTAAGGAGAAAAATTTTGATGTGGCACGGATGAACAATTCTGCTCATTTGGGTACAGTTTCAAAGACTGGCCCAAAATTTTGTAAAGAGCTGGATGGCATGGATGCACAAAAATGTAGAAATTGTAGGGCGCGTTTGAAACTCGTTCTAAAATTATTATTTTTTCGTATGAAAATGAAAATGAAAACGTTTTCAATCTCAGATAGAAATTATTTTTGAAAATGTGTTTGGTAGTTTTATCAAGAGATTGTTTTCAGTGTAAAAAAACTCATTAATGTTTCTCTTTCTCTCTCAGCTCGAGAGAGGAGAAAACGAAAACAAAAAATAAAAAATGACTAAAAGTCATTTTTCATTTCTCTCTTATTTTACACTAAACTAAAAAATCGTTTTCATTTTTATTTTTTGTCTTTATTGTGCCAAATGCTTTTTTAGAAACGTTTTTATTTTTTTTCTCAAAAAATATAAAAAATAAAAACGAGATCAATTCTAAATACGGCCGTATCATCCTTGTTTTGTCCGCACCTTCTAATCATTTAAAAATCATTATTGTCGGTGCTAATTGTAGATCTCTCCACATTTGGTCTCGGGGAGAATGTGGTCCCGTTGTATTTAGGCTCGAACCGAAAATAATCTTTCATGTTGCCCCTATTTTGCGCTCCCCCATATTTTGTTTTTAATTCTTTTTTTTTTTTTGGCCCTATGTGCCCCACTAAATTTATGCCATTACCAAAAACTTTTGTCCACTTTTCTCTTATTGTTTCCTAAAGGCTAAAACTTTCTAATGATAAGATTTATATAATTTTCTTTGGAAAAAAAAAATTTTCAATCACGCTCAAAGTTGTTAAAAATTTTACAATATTCTAATTGCTATTGACTTAAATTTATAAATCCAAACAAATGAGAGTCCAACTGTACTACTACAAAGTTTAAGATTTTCTTTTAACCAATGCGATGCCTTAAAAAAAAAAAAAAAAACAAAAAAACAAAAAAAAAACCTTAATTTTGCCCCACTGAGGGGCATAATAAATGCTTAGCACTAATTCTTTAATTCAAGAGCATGAAACTATATGTGAGGGGAAAAAAAAGCATGAAATTATAGAGGGCAGATCAGTGTGCTTAAATAACTTGGTAAATTTTGATTAGAAAAAAAAATTGAGAAATAAGACTGTTCAATGTAGTATGAGACAAATATCCTTTAAAGTGTATGAGTCTAGATTTTTATCTTTTAGTCTTATTAATATCCTTTAGGAATCCCCTAAAAAATACATCCAGTCTTTTAATTAAATAACTATAATAATTAAAAATGTATTAATTAAAAATAAAAGATAAAAATTCAAATTCAATTTTCTCATCTATCGACTGTATATCTCGTTACTGGGCACCCTGGAAATGGCCCACGAAGCAAGAAGATTCATGACTTAACAAACACAAATTTCATTTAATGTGTGAAAGCTCCTATCAACTTGAGTATGCGACAATTCAATGATATTCGCTTTGAGGACCTCACGAGAACAATAAATGATTCTTACTATACACATGTCACAAGCCATTACTCGTATGTTTAAGCTTGGTTTGGTAACGAACCATGCAATGATGATATGAAAGCAAAAAGGAACAAAAAAAAGTTGGGCCTTTATTGTTTGAAAGGGATCGAAAAGATTTGTGTACTAAAATATTGGTGGTTAAAATCACTCTCTATACTTGATTGATTTAGAGGGGAAATATATATATATATATATATATATATATGTTTAATAACAAATATGTTTGATATAGATATTTATCCAAATATTGGATTAATACTCATGAAAATCCTATTACTCTTCTCCATAAAACAGTGTATTCTATATTTATACATTAATGTTCCCATCTATCCACACCTAATCTCCCTCATTAACAAATCAATAGTCATAACAAATAGATGTGAGTGCATTATGAATCCATAAATGACCAACAATAATAGATTTTAAATTCTTCTCATCAAATTATAGAAGCTATCAAAGTTTAGCTCAATATGTATTTTTAAATACATAGGTGTTTCTTTTAGCAATATCTTCATTAGAACAATATAGCTAAGATCATCTCATTTTTTTTTTTTTAAACACACTACACAATCTTATTAAAAATGAAGTGCACAACTTTATTTACCGCTTATTAGTTAATGATTTGTACAATGTACTTTGAAATTATACCTTCCGAATATCAACACTTTATATATATAATTAAATGATTTATTACTATTATAGGAGTCTTATGATATTTACTCACAAATATAACAAATTGTAAAGTTATAGAGTCTAATTATTGCCTAAAAGGCATACATTTTATTTTTCATAACGTTATAATAAGTTTACATTATGCTTTAAAATCACTTACCCAATAGAAAGAGGAGGAATGATCGTACTTTTAACTTTTTAGTTTTTTTTTTTTTTCAAAAGAAAATTTTGAATAATATAAAAGATATATTGTGGAACAGTTTTCATAATTCCTGAATTTATAAAAAACATTGTTGGGTATATGGGGGTAGGGTTTAAAATTTTTGGAGAGGGAAAGAAAAAAAAAGGAAAGAGGGGTGGCAACAAGTGGAAAAAAAATGTCGAAAAGGAAGAAAAAATGCGAGAGAAGAAGAATAAAATCAAAATCTTGGTTGGTTTCGGCCAGCGATTGATTCCAAACATTCATGCCTCGTTTATTTCATCGATTCGAGTTTTGCTACAGTAAAAAGCTCTCAGAAACAGTTACATCTAACTTTTTTACTACAGTAAAAAACTCTCATATAAAGATACATCTCAACTCGAATCAACGAACTAAACAGGCCCTCAAAATCACCCACTGGCCTCCATTGGATAGGTGGTTTAGTTTTATTGGCTTAGTTTGCTGCCGACCTCGTTTAATGAGTACATAGTCTTGCCTATTAGACCAAGTCGTTAAGGACTTGGGCAATGGATTCTATTGGGCCAATGAATAAATGACTTGTGATTTAGACGTCACGACACAAAATAAATAATGTGTCGTGCTAAGCTCGACAAGACAACACTATTATACTTTCTTAAATGAGCCGAGTCAGGCACAACAACGATTTACTTAACAGATTTGTAAGGCTAACGGGTCAATTATTACATCTTCGCATTGAAAATGTGCTACTAATGCCTGCAAAAATCTGGCCTAGGGAAAGAAAATTGGTGCCCTTTGTAGACCGCCAAGTAACTTTGTCACTTTCATGCACGTAGTTTCAAAATCCTTTTGTGACCATTTCTGATATGTCTGCATATTATATTTCATTTATATATGGAGCTTTGTTGTAGAATGATAGAAGTGATCGTGAAAGAGGAATCCTAGATAAATTACCTGGATGTTTGATTGGATCAATGATTGAATTTCCACATAACTATATTGGTATAGATATCAAGATAGCCCAATTTGGTCGGAGCTAGTCATATCAATCCCAGCATTCTAATCAAACTTTCTAACTACTCTCTTGGACTTTGCTTAAGATGTCTACTTTTAAGCAACTTTTTTCTATTGCATATGTCCCTCTTTCCACCGCCAGTTTCCCAACTATACACACGTATAGAAAACTCACCTGACGTTTATTTTAAGAGTTATATCTAATTTATTATTATAATTTTTTATTTTATTATAATATTTTTTTTTCATAAAAATTTTGTATTTTAAAAATCAAAATTATTGAACTCATAAACCAATCGTCACATCAATTCTCATAAATCCAGACCCATTTTCATTGTATATATTATCTACAGAAACATGAAATTTTGTATTTTAAAAATCAAAATTATTGAACTCATAAACCAATCGTCACATCAATGTCTCATAAATCCAGACCCATTTTCATTGTATATATTATCTACAGAAACATCACTCATTAGTAATACGGCTAATACATAAATCTTAACAACTATAAATAGTTTATCACATTATTAGTCCATAAAGAAACCTAATGATTACCACTTTTAATCTTTTTCTTTATATTAGTTTATCATCTTTTGATTAGCATAAACTCAATTAAATAATTAAATTTTAAGGGGCCAACAACAGTAGCTATATATATATATATATTACGGAATATAGATATTTTAGTATCTAATTGATTGCTATCACCATACTAATTTGCCTAACACATACATAACAACTTAGCAACAAAGATAGTTTATCATTACTCCTTCAACACAATATTCAAATATATTTAATATTTTTTGGTTTTAGCCTATGATCATGCGCATATCAGCAATATCATGAAACTCAACCAAATAATCCGCGTTTTAATTTTTGATATTCAAAATAATAGCGCCTTATAATCTTTTCTCTTTTTTTTTTTTCTTTTTTAAAGCTATATGTAGTATCTAATTGATTGCTAACATCGTACTATTGTCACGCCCTAAAATAAGGGTTAGTAATATGGAGACTCGTTTAGAAATTAAACATGATTAGCAAACTAATTAAACATTTAGAAATATAATAATCATAATCAAAAGTAAACTATTAAAGAAATTTCTAAACAAGCCCCACATTTTACTGAAATTAAATTACAAGAATGTGATGGGGACTTTCACGCTTTTTGATAAAAATGGTTTGAAAACTGAGCCTCTGACATCATTCAGGGCTTCACCCACAAGATATATAATATTGTACATACATGAACATATAAATAACATTACAGACATCAACCACAGTCTAGAAACTTAAGATTTAGAGTTCCAGAATTTACAATCCTTACATTTGTATACAATGAAAAAAGAGTGCAATGTCCTCACTTGATCAGACGGCAGCGACTAACTCAGCTACTCAGTACTGCTCCTAGTGTCAACTGGAAGGGGTTTAATATTTATAGAAACAAAATAAAACATGAGCGGAATGCCCAGTAGGATGTATTTTAAAATAAATTTTATCAACAAGTAAATAGATGAACAGGCAAGTAAATAAATAACTAAACAAGTAAATAAAGATATTCAGTTCCAACGCAACAGCCGGAACCTCACATCCTTTTTCTGAAAGAAAATATAAACTCAAAAATTTCATATTACAGGCATCAACAAGTAATTTATCCTCTGATAAATTACTTACACAACCACAAGCATAAGCCTTATCACCACCGTAGTGGCCCGTTTTTGGGTTTCGGGTTCTGCCCCCAAGGATACGATCTCTATATCCTATCTAGGCCATTAGCAGGCTTACCGGTTCGCAAAATATCTTATCTTAAGAAATCATTCATTAAAACTCTGAAATAGTTCATTATAATTCCAATAGCTAAAATCAAGCTATTATGTTAAAATGTTTTTCTTTCGCAAACATATCATTTCTTTAAAACCTTTGCAAGGCCAAAATTCTTTTAAAAACAAGCTGACAAAGAAAGGATAAGAAATTCTACCTTTTAAGCACCAAACCTGTGGCTAGCATTGCGCTATTCTAGCCTCCGCTTCCTCGAAACCTTCAATTCGATTCTTCAACTATCATTGATATAAAACAACGCTTTAGGATCCATTTCTCATTCCTAAAGTAAATTAATCTCAATTATACACTTCGATTTCCTATTAGTGTGCCTTAATCCAATTACAAGTTTCATAAATCATTTCATGTTTCAAATCATCATTCTAAGGATTTTGATCTCAAAACATTGATTAAAGATGCTAATCCATATACTTTAGGTCCCTAAATGAAGCTAATTTGGGTTCTCTTTGAAAATCGAGATCAAAACAAAGGTTTCAAAATAACTTAGCCACATTTTCTTTGTCAACCGGCCCACCGGTGACAAAAGGTGCATCACCACCGGTTGACCGGTGGTGTGCTAACCGGTTGACCGCATAGGTCGGCTGATGGAGATCGGCAGGGCGAGAAAACTTGCTAAATCAGTTCAAAAACCTGCAAATCTTAGATATTTCAAAGGAAAATTACCAAATCCAGGCTCCAAACAACAAATCAAGCCCAAGGAACCAAAAATCCCCAATTTCCATTAGGATTTAACCAAAATCCATCAAAATCCATTTCGAACTAAAAATAGGTTTTTCTAATGGAAAAGTTTGAGATTCAAGAGAAGTTTTTTAGAAATCTTACCTCAAATTCCTCTCTTGACGTTGAAAACTCCTTTAAATCCTTCTTTGGTTCGAAATCTGGATGATTTGGTGATAATTTAGAAGAGAGAGAGTGTGTGAGAATGAGAGAGAGAGTGAGAGGTGCACGGAAAGGGAAAGAAAGAAAAGAAAGAAAAGAAAAGAAAAGAAAGAAAATGAAAGAAAAGGAAGGAAAAGAAAGAAAAGAAAAAGAAAAGAAAAAAGAAAGGAGATAAACATTAAAGATATTTAGGAAATTAGACCAGAAAATGTGTCTACACACACTCCTGGAGTTACAAATATAAATACTGAAAACATTTAAATTTACACATAAGAAACATTTAATAAACATAATTATTTAATTAAACCATATTAAACACACTAATAAATTTTAATTATCTTAATTAATCTTGTTTAATTTCTCGAAGTGTTACAACTATATATACACATGGTATAACGAAACTCATAATTAAATCTTAACCTCCCACTAGGAAAGCCTAATAAGAGATAATAACAAAAACTTCCCTTATATTTTTTCAAAATATTAGTTCAATCATATATTTTTAAGGATAGTATACTTATCCTTTTTGTTTAAAACACCGTGTTAAAGACCTCCTTCCAACGTGTTTATGTTGGCTACACCGCCCAAAAGTTTTTTTTTTTTTTTTTTTTTATAGTGAAAATTACCCTTGTTCCTAAATAAGTCAAATTTTAAGTTTTAATAATAAAAAAATTACAAAACAAATTTGAACGCATAGTTTTTTCTTTAAAGATAAAATTGCTAAGAAAATGGAAGGAAACTGAAGTAAAAAATGAGATTAATTAAGGTTTAAAAAAAGTGAAAATTATCTTTTCACATACTTTTTGACTAACACGTTATAGAGGGTGTTTTTTTTTTTTTTTTTTTTTTTTAAATTTAATTTGTTAAACACAACAGACATATGCAACATTTCTAAAAATATAAACTTAAATGCAACATTATCCCCAACAATAATAATATTCCGATCTTCACACGTAAATCTAATAGTTTAATTAGTTCTTAAAGATACCTAACGATCAATTATCATTCCTTCTCTTCCAGTGGTACACATATCATTAAATTAAATTAATAAGTCGTTTCTCAAAAACAAAACAAAAAAACAAAAAAAAAAAAAAAAAACTGCCAAGCTAAAAATTTAAAAAAAAAAAAATTAAATTGAGCGACAAACTTACGAATTTTGAGGGGACAAATGTAGTACCTTTTTTTTTTTTTTGGAGGGAGTACCTAAATTCTTTTTGGCAGCATATATATATATATATTTATCATCTAGTTGATTTCTTTCTCGATATTTTTTTAATATTTTTTTATTTAATCATCTAATTGATTTTTTAACACTATACATGCACATGATGTAAACTATCCAGGTTTTTATTTTTTATTTTTTATTTTTTTTCTTGAAAAGGAATCGAAGCATGTACGTAAAGGAAGGAACACCGAATAAAAATGTAGAGAAAAAATGTCAACATTAGCCCCACGTGACTTTGTTATGTTTCAATTTTTCATTTCCCCATTAGTCCATTACACACACGCCCAAGTCTTCGTCATCAAAAAAAGGCCTTCTTCCACAATACTCCTTTATGTTTTATCTCAATTTATAGTGAGATCCATAAGTTGAAATAATTTACATTAACACCTCTTGCATTTTCAGGGGGAAAAAAAATAATAAAAGTACTCTTTTCATTACTAAAATCTAATTTTACAAAAATTAAAAGATATTGGCCCTAACGAATAAGTTGATATTGGGGGACTCAACATTACAAAATTGAGTCTGCTCTCATACCATTTTATAGAAATAAAAGGATATTGAGCCTAACTCAACCTAACAAAATCAGCTTGTTAGGAGAGGATTATCCTCACCTTATTAAATAGATCATGCCAATATCTCCAGCCAATATGAGATTATAATAAAATCTAACAAAAAAAAGTAGTTTAACCGTTAAATATTTTTAAAATGATGAAACTACAGCATAAAAAATGCTCACAACTGCATTTTGGGGCTTAAATGTACCGTTATTTACTCCTATTTTATGCATCGCTCTGATAGTACTTAAATTGTTTGAATATTTTGGTCATTTTTAAGTGTTGAAGTAACCAAAATAAAATGTTGTAAATTTGAAATCAAGAAAATATTTACGTAATTTAAACCCAAAAAAAAAAAGAAAATATTTATGTAACTTGAATAAAAAAAGGAGAAAATACGTATGCAATTTAAACAAAATACGGTGTGTGTAGTTCTCCCATCTGCTCCCTTAGCGTGTCTTTTAATTAGTCAACACTCTCTCTCTCTTAAATATCTCAGTAGTACCATTCCAGACGGATCCCTCTCCTTAACCCTCTTAACGGTTCTACGCCATGATGTATTACACAGTAAACACTATGCTCCTCCTTCTCTCCCTCCAAATTCGCTTTCTCTAACTAACCAAACAAACATACAAAAACAAAAACAAAAAAATCTAAAATAAAAATCATAAATTCCAACAATCTCACCACCATCCCAAGCTTCCTCTGCAATTCTCTAATGGCGACGCCACAGATTCTAAACAACAACAACAACAACATCGCGAAGATCAGCAGAAAGCCGCAGCCGAAGCAGCTCATCTGCTTCTCCTTCGCCGCCTACGCCAAGAGCCTCATCTCTCACCTCCGATCCTCCGACGTCCCCGTCTCCGACGGCCTATCCGACGTCGAATTCTCCTCCGTCGAGTCCCTCCTCAACTTCACCTTCCCTCCCGACCTCCGCGCCATTCTCCGCGAAGGCCTCCCGATCGCCGCTGGCTTTCTGAACTGGCGATCCTCGTCTCCGCAGCAGCTCCGTGTTCTTCTCAACCTCCCTGTCCTCTGCATCCTCAAGCAAGTCTCTCGCCGGAGCTTCTGGTCGGAATCTTGGGGACGGAGACCCGGCGATGTCAACCTCGCCTTGGAATTGGCCAAACAAGCCTTGAGAAAATCTCCGATCCTCGTCCCGATCTTCCGGAACTGCTACATTCCTTGCTCGCCGAGCGAGTCGGGGAATCCGGTTTTCCACGTCGATGCCGAGAGTGTACGGATTCTCAGCTTCGACATTACCGGATTCTTCCAGGATTTCGGGTTCTTGAATTCGAAAGTCAGCGTCGTTCCGGTTTGGGCGGCGAAGTCGGCGCGGAGGATCGAGTTCTGGTCTGAGGCGGCAGAGAGGAGGAAATTCACGGCGGCGCGTGGCGCGTGGTGGAGCGGCGAGTTGGGAGGGTGCTTGGAGGAGGTTTTCTGGAGGTTGAGGGAGGGAGGGTGGGAGGAGGAGGAGGTGAGGGAGATGCTGATGATGATGGACGGCTGTGATCTTGTTGACCGGAAGAGGGAGATGAATAAGAAGAATCTGACGGCAATGATCGAGTGTGAAGAAAAAGAGGGAGTGACGTGGCACGTTAGGACGCTCTCGCTCGCTTTGTTGCGTGCGGGGTGGACCACGGAGGATGTGGTGTACTCGCTGGATTTTCAAAACGACAAAGATGTCGTCGTTTTGGATGGGAAATCTGGTTGGTGTTCTAAGCTAAGGGATCAACAAGAGAGCAGCATCAACCGCCTGATGCACCTCCAGTCTCTTGAGGTTTGACTTTGATGCACCTCCAGCATCAACCCGCATTGTTTATAATGTGATAAATGCGTCTTCGCCATGTGGTGATTTCCATCTGACCGTTGGATCCGTTGACTACCAATTGGGTCATCACATGCTTAATAACTTTTTTTTTTTTTTAAATACAGAGATTCAATTTAATTAAATTGTAAATATCATTTTAATGCAATAAAGGGTTATAAAACTTGGTGGATGCATTTATCCGTAACTTTTGGTATCAACAATTTGAACTTGTTTATAGCATTGATAAGTATTAAGTAGAGTAAGGGCCAGTAGATAATGCAAAAGTAGTTAGATTTATAATTTTAATTGAAATTCTATTTATATGTGATCTTTCCCAGCCATAGAAAATATTTATAAAAAATAAAAAATAAAAAATAAAAAAAACCGATTCTAAAGATTTATTATGTGGGTAAATTGCTTTTAAGGAACATTTAATTGCAAATGTAATCGACCTTCCAATGCAGTGGATTGCCAATTTGTTACCTTGATTAGCCATTAGTCTTACGAGGATAAATACAATTATGCTAAGAAATTTACTAGGACTTAACATATTGAAAGTAAATAATTATTCAATTTATTTTTATAATAGTATTGCCTATAGTGTCCCAAACTCCATTCTTATTGTTTTACTGTATAAACAAAGTGAGATAAGAGTTCAAAAGCGAAATGTTGTTGCTTTAAGTCATGCATTAGACAATTTGATTCCTTAGCAAAATTTTCAAAACTAGTTGTCCTTTTTGAGTAAGTAGACAAGGAAAAAGGAAAAAGAAGGTAAAAAAGAAGAAGAAAAGAAAAGAGAAAAAGGGGGTATTTACTTTTATTTAGAATGGGCAATTTTCATAAAATAGTTCAAGAGGACTTCCGTTGTGGATGAATAATTACTTCTATCCTTTTTCCCCCTATTTTATTCTTAAAGTTGAAAATGGAAGTTACGTAAACAAACTGCAATCTTCAAGATATCCTTGCATCTAAAGAAATATCCTAATTACTATTATATTTACTTTCTTATTTATGACCCGTGTAATTCGCTAATTTAAATTTATAATTCAAGTTGAAATGTGACGTGAGAACTTTTTATTGTAACGAAAAAGTTAAATGTGACTGTTTCATTTAAATTTTTTACTGTAATAAAATTTTGAATTTTAAACTCGAATCGGTGAAGTGAACAAGATCTTAAAATTTGTCTCAAGTTTTCTCTCTTTTAATTATGATTTTGACGGAGTATGAACTACTTACCTAACCGTTAGAGGCTAGTATTCTGTAGACAATTTTGTACGCCTAAAAAGGAAAACCAAAAAGGAAAATATAAACTTGTCATTTTTGAAGCGAGAAAATTAGGGAATTGCTTACAATTATTTAGATAGATAGATATAAACTGGTAAGAAAATCAAACTTTCTAAGTATTTCATTGTCAAATTTTTGTGCCGGTCCAATATACGAGACTTGTAACTATAACTCTCCAAAACAATGAAATTTTTGATGAAGACTAACTCTTCATTTACATCAAATTCAAATGCACATTATCTCAATTTAGGACAAATTTTTTATAATCCAAGCTCTCAAGTTTCGTGGACTAAATCAGTTTCTGAAAAAGCAGCTAATAAACAAAGCATCTCATAGAAAACGTCTCACAAAAACACCCTCATGTTGGGTCAGCACTAAGGGCTTCAACTTGTTCATAAAGGACACCGACAAAGATGTTGAGGGCAATAAAGTTGTCAAAAAAGTGTTTACAAAGCTCGAAAATATTTAGAAATACCACTGATATTAAACACAACTATTAATAAAAAGAAAAATTTTATTTATAAGTCTTATAATAATACTTGGCACCACCGGTACTGAATAACATTTTTTGCATGGTTTTGTTGCTCTATTAAAAGATACGTGGCCTGCAGATTTTGGGGTCACAAATGGCTGTGTGATTCTTGCTTTCGGCCCTTGTGTCAACCTCAAAATGCTCTTTGTTTGGTTTTGGGTCTACGTCAAACAAGGACGTAGGATCCCATGTGGTGCCCAAAAGTCCTACAAACCGACCCAAAGATAATAATATATGCATTTGCCTCGGCTCATCTCTAATTCGGCCATTGTCTTTATCAACCCAATTACATGCTCAAGAAACGTCTTAACTTGTTTCAACCTCATATGTTTGTTTTTATTTGGGACTTTTGTTTTTTTTGGACAATGCCTAGGAATAGAGTGTTCCATGTGCACTCATCCAAGGCTGAGTTTTCTAAACTTGTTCCCTGTAAGGGTTTGGCTTTCTCACCTAGTTGGTTTGCTTCCTTTCTATTTTTATTTTTTTGGACTAAAGGATTATAATTTTCTTTAATAAATTGTTTAAGCTTCGGTCTGCATGAATTTTCCATACTCCCGTTTAGTTCACTGATTCGAGTTTTTAATTCGAGTATGTGACTTTATTTGAGAGCTTTTTACTGTAGTAAAAAAGTTAGATGTGACTGTTTCTGAGAGCTTTATACTGTAACAAAACTTGAATTCTAAACTCGAATCGATGAAGTGAACAGGGCATTGTTTAGAATATGGATTACCTTGTAAACATAAACAAACACAATTTGCATTTGTGTTGATTTTGTACGTGGGAATGTACGTTCAATAAAAATAAATAAAATTAATTAGTTAAAAAAATCGTAATTGGATGAATTAGAGGCAATTTTTTCGCTATTAACACCTTCATCACCATTAATTAAGTCAAAATATTAAAACTACATGACATAAACTATTAAATGGATTGGTGACATGTCACTGAGACTGGTGACATGTAACTATTGACTACTACTTGTACATGAGTGGTTGTTGATCATAAACCACGTAGGAGATGCATTGGATTACTTGGTGACAATCGACTAGTGGGTAGTTGATTGAGTGGCTGACAATAGTCAAGTAAATCGATTGATGACCGATGAGTAGTCGAATGGGTGACCGTCGAGTAATGAGTAATCGCCTACTCCAATAACACTTGGAGCTAAGCGGCTATCGCCTGTTCAGTTGGCAAGTAGGGACTAGTCGACTATATGCTACCCCTATGCCCTCTAAGCATGAAATTGAAAGATGTTTCTAAAATTCAAAGAATGCTTTTATAATGTCTAAGAACATTATGGATAAATTAGAAAAAATAAAATAAAACTACGTGTAAACCCTTTACACAATTTAAATAAATTCCTATTGGACGTGAGCCAGTCAAGGTTGGGCCCGCTACAATGATGGGCCGGCCTAGTCCATTTGACAAATCTAAGCTGGACTTCTCAGTAAATTAATGGGCCTGGACCAGAATATCCATTCTGGAACGTGCCGCGGCGCCTCCAGTCCTTCAAAACAATGGGTTTCCAGGGTCTCTTCTGCAACAGCGAATATCCATATACAGACGGCGTCAAAGAGAGAGAGAGAGAGAGAGAGAGAGTTAGAGAGAGAAAGCTTACTTAAAAGAAATGGCGATGGCGTCAATCCGATCGGGTCTCCTGCGAACCGCCTTGCGCGGTGGCTCTCGAGCCCCTGCTCCTCCCAAGCGCAACTTCTCCTCCTCCGCTCATCACGACGATGCTTGTAAACCCTCCTTCTCTATCCCTCTAGGGCACAATCACACACAAAAATCCCATTTTTTTGGGCAGATCCGATATTTTTGTTGTTTTCGTGCGAGATTATTTAGTTATTTTCTCTGTATTTAGCTGGATGCTTTATCGGATTTGTTTTTGTTGGCAAAGAAAACGATTGGAAGGCAAATGATGGAAGATTTCAATCCTTTTGTTAGGGTTATCTCTGTGGAATTTTGAGTATGTAGAATTGGCACCATAAATTGAATTTTAGGGTCTGGTTTTCGTCATTCTCTAATTCCGATGTAAATTCTTAAGTTTTTGACGCTACAAATCACACTTAACTTTATGGTTTTGGACCTTTTGGTAATAGGTATAACGTGTTCTGGTTTACAAAGCCAATTAGGATTTTCTATTGATTTTTTTTTTTTCAAATTTAAGCACGGATTTCATTGCCCATTTGTATTTTGTCATTCAGTCTTTTCTGTTTACCATTGACTCTAATCATCTCTTGATTGTTGCAGATGAGACGGCAAAGTGGGAAAAGATAACGTACGCGGGCATTGTAACATGTACTGTTTTAGCAATCTTCAATCTATCAAAGGGTCATCCCCACCATGATGAGCCTCCTGTGAGTTTTCATCTTTAGCCTTCTGATTTTTTGTGGTTTTTGTAAGCCTTTACGTTTATACATGTGTGTCCCGTCTTTTTGGTACTTGAATGAACGAATCGCTTTTACCCGGTATGAGCTCCATAAACTTTTAGATTGGTTTCACTTCATGGACACTTACACTATTTTGTAAATTCTCCAAAGTTCTTCCCTTTCCATCTAACAATTGTCGCTGACTCTAATTTCCTATATATGCAGCCATACCCATATCTGCACATCCGCAACAAGGAGTTTCCCTGGGGTAGGAACTTTATGATCATTTTATTTGAATTTATTATTTATTTCTTCTCCGTGCTAAATGTCAAATGCACAAATAAATATGCACATTTTTTTTTGCATAAAACATGATACTTGAAAATTTTTGTTCATGATGCTACTTTAGGCTGAAGCTTTCAATAATCAATTGTTTTTTCATTGGTCAGTTCTGGAGTTTGTGAGGGTCTTGTTATTTTCTTGCAACTTTATGAGTATCTGTATAAAGGGTTGTATCAAGTCTTGTCCAATGTAGTTTGTCCCCACTAAGTTGCTTTATTTGCCATGAAATTGTTGGATCAGGGTAATTTTAGAGTAGATTTCTGGTAGCTATTTGTCTGTAATACAAGCTCAAGTACTAAAGCAGTGAAATAGGAAGTATTGGACGTTCCAAAGCTTAATAGAGACCAGTGATCATGCCTAGTATTTAGTGGTGTTATATTATCGAACTTATTTATGGTGCCTTGGTACTGTACTGGTATCTAAACTAGGTCTGGGTTGGGTGGGGGAGAGTTGGGGAGGCTGCGGGTTCAATACCGTCTTTATAATATGTATGTACTCTATCTGAGAGTGAACATAGCATTAATATGAGTGAAATTCTGTCTGAAGTGCCAATGTTATTTGATGTTAACGCGCCCTGTGTTTTGTGTTATGGATTAGATTTTTATTGTGTTAGAACATGGTGGATCTAAATTAAGCTGAGTAGAAGCAACTATAATGAAATCCGTGGTTCTATTGTATAGTTTAAGGCTATAAGCTTCATTAGATAGTGAATTTTTCTAGAACCATAATGACACTTTCCTGGCACAGTTTCTGTCTATTTTCCAATTGTTGCGCTATCTTGACGCTTGACATACCTGTTAAGAATGCGACCGTTGTATTCTTTGTTATTAGCTCACATGGCATAGGAATCAAGTGTAATTAGAATAGCATGCAAACTTGTATTCTTTGGTGAGTCTTACTGGATGTAAAATGCACCGAGAGAAGAGAAATTAATTCCTGGGATTGTCATTGTAAAGGGAATTCAGTGTTCTGTGTGTTAGATTGAAGAGGGTGTACTAATTTCTGGAAGTTGGTTAATGAAGGAGTTGATTAGTCTTCGTCGAAGAGAATAAATTTTCATATCCTTTCTTGCCATTAAAATTCTTCTGTCTTCTTGTCTTTCTTGTCATTGTGTGACTGTGAATTGTGCCTGAAGTGTGGTTCTAATAAAGGAGAGGACATCAAATCTATGCAGATAACACAACATTACCAATATTCGCCTCTCCATTTTGAGCTAATTAAGATCATTTTTACTATATTTTTCGATTGCAAATATAAATATATGCATATATATTCCTCTTTCCTTTGTTTATTTCTTCTTTTATAAATTTTGAAAGCGTAAACGTCCTTGCTTTGTAGCATTACTCTATTTGATTCGTTCTTCGGTTATGTGCAGGTCCAGATGGCCTTTTTGAGGTCAAGCATCACTAGGGTAGTTTTTGGTTCATTTTAAAAGCTATCAGACCATGTGGAATAACTTTTTGTTCACATTGTCCTTGGAGTTTCATCGAAATTGGATACTAATGCTTGCATATGGCAAGTGGTTGAATCTTTCCTATTTCATTCCTGTCAACGATTAATAAAATGAACTCTTTGGATTGCTATTTTTTCTGCTCATTAATTTCGGAAAATCTTGATACTGTTTAGAATTGGTACTTGAGAAGTGAGTGTAATTTGTCGCGGGGATAACCGGAAGATAAGTTTTTGAGACGTTGTTTGGTTTAGACATTCCTTCAGATGCCCCCTTAAAATGCCGTCATAGCTGCTATCTACTTTTATCTCAAATCTAGTAAACCAGACAACGTAAACAGTACTCAAATTGTCCCAGACACCCCACTGTTCCCCACCAATAATTCTCATTCTTCTTCCCTCCCAAGAGAAGAGGGGCAACAGTGTTAGTGAGGAAGGAGCTAGGGACCTTAGGGTTAAAGATGTATGTTATATATGAGTCGTATATTGATGTGTCATGTTAAGTGTGATAAGCTGGTTGTCCGAAATCAACCTTTTTTTTTTTTTTTCATATTATGCGTGCCAATGTGCGGACAGTGGCGAGTGCAACCTCGTTATTTCTTGTCGTTTTTATATTGTTTAGGACTCGTTTATTTCATGCGTTTAAATTTATGGTTTTGATTGTGCTTGAGTGTTTTTCTCTCACAAAAAAATATTTGAATTTCAAATACCAAAATCAAGAGAAAATACACCACATAGCATATTTCACACTTATGTTTGAAGAAAATAACATGTATTTTAAAACATAGTAAATTATAGCATATCTCTAAATTCTATTTTAAAATAAGTTGTTCTTTTCAAGATTTACCCGGGTTTTATTATTTTCTTTCCCACACATTTTTACAGCCACCTCTCTCCCTTTTCTTTCTTTCTCTCTCCTCTCTCCCTCTCTCTTTTTCTCTCTTTTCTCCCTCTCTCCCGTTACGGTCTCTCTCATCTCCCTCGCGTTCTCTGCCTCTCCTCTCGTCATGCTCTCTCTATCATTGAGCCACTGGAAGTCGTGGCCGAAAAATCGCAATGGTTGCGAAGAAAGGAAGACGAGAAAATGGTGGTCAGTAACAAGAGAAATTGGCGGTTGACGAGACATCTGGTGGGGGCTCCTGTGGTGGCTAAATCCCGTGGCAACGAGACGTGACGGTAAATCCACAATAGAGAACTGACGAACTTGACTCCGATCTTTGTCGCTTCGACCTCACGAGCAGTCCTAATATTTCTAGTCATCAAAGCCGATCGACGATGACAGTCGCGGAGACGTTGGATCGAATTTTTTTCTTTTTTCTGGTGATTTTTATAATTTATGAGTTTTGTAGTTTTGGTGGATTTTTTGTGCATTATTTCGTATTTTTGTCTTTGTTTTGTGAGTTTTGGATCTGACTTTGTTATTTCATGATTTTTATTCTTTTTTGTCATGATTTGATTAGCGGCGAGGGTTTCTGATATAGTTTGAGTTTGTGATTTTATTTTGATCTTGGATTTTGAATATGGTAACCAGTAAATACTTTATTGAATTTAAGTTTGAATTTGGTAAATACATCAATAAATAAGTTTGAATATGGTTATTAAGATATTTACTAGTCATCAGAGCTGGTCGTCAGATTTTCAGATAAATATAGTACATACGGTATTTACCAGTAAATACTGTATTTACTACTAAATACGGTATTTACCAGTCGCCGAAGCCAGTCACCCGATTTTCAGATAAATATGGTAAATACCGTATTTACCAATAAATATAGTATTTACAATTTACCCGATTTTTACCTGATTTTGGATATAGTAAATACGGTATTTACCTGATTTTTAAATATGGTAAAAACTGTATTTGCATGTAAATAATTTAGTAGTTACAATTTAGAATCTGTTATATTTATCCGTAAATACAATGTTTCTGTGACGACCCTCCTTTGAGGCCGCCACTGTTACTAACTTTTTAACTTGTACTTACTGGGGTTTCTTAAAATATGCGGAACATTTTTTTTTTTTTATATAAGAAGGAATACTTTCATAATTTGTAACAATAATTTCAAATAAGTGAATCACTAAATTTCTTAAAGCTTTTCTTAATTTTAGTTAAGATAAAACCTTTTAGGAATATCCTTCAAATGGAATAGCATTTGAACTCTTGTTTTAAATACTCTTTAAAAGCTTTTCTAAAACTAGTCATTTCAATCGGCCATCTCATTTGACTTTAAAACGGATTTCGTGAGAAATCTTAAATTCAAGTACATCTTAAAGTCCTTCTAAAATTACTCATTTAAATCGTCATGTTTAAAATTCATTTATTTGTTGCATGTACTGTTGCAACGTTCTAAAACTTAAATACTCAAAACTAGGGTTGTTAGTTACAACCTTGGTTTTCTTAACATACATATGTACGTATACTTTTTAAACATACATACTTGAAACTTTTGAATCATATAGACATATACATGATTTTTCTTAAACTTACGGCGGAAAATAACTGCGTGAGCGGTATCCATTCCCATCTCCACCATTCGTCCACCGCTCGCCATTGCCCTTCAAGAATTGCTGATAGGTTTCTTACCTACAACATGAACATATCTGATTGAGCTTTCGCTCAGCAAGTAGGAACTATATCTCACAAAATAACTGTAAGTACACATGAATAAATATGCATGAGCTGATTATGCTTAATTATGATGTCTTATCATAATTTTATTATCTTATCTTATCTTATCTTCCTTACTGATGGGCCCGAGTGCTCGCGTACCACTTGCGCGCAATCATCGGAACGTGAGGGTTTGCAAGGTCCCCCACGACACCGTGATTATAACTTGAATGCCTCCCTTGAGTCGGAGGAAATTATTGTTATTTTCTTTTTCTCCCTTGTGGAGCT